CATGATAAGTTGAGAATGTTTCCTAGAAACTTTTCTTCAAAGCTAAACCCTAGATTCTCAATCTCTAGTCTAGTATCCAAACAGGAACTAACTTTTTGTATGATCGTTCTATGCACTTTCACGAACACCCAATTGGCCTTGAGCTCCAAGAAATGTTACAGACACAAGCTGGGGTTTACTATGATTATTCTATTAAGTTGGCATCTATATTGGCATATTGCCAAGTCTATATTGGCAAGAAAGTTCATGGAAAAAGTTTGCAAGGTGATTTCTTAAAAAACAAGAATTCTTTCTAAATACTTTTCCAAAAATCTCAAAAATTTTAAAGGAAAGCTGTACTCATTTTTTTACGAGTAATTACTTGGAGTCGACTTGCAAATAATAGAACAAAGTGTGCTTGAATTGGTGGATTCGTTTTTAAGAAATTCCAGTCAAACTTTTCTCGAGAACTTTCTTTCCAACCTAATATTTTGAATGACAACGAAATTTAGCAAGGATTAAGACTGCAGAAAGAGCTTGTACTAAAAGGCTTTTACAGGGTGACCAGAAATAACGTTGCGGCCTGATTTAGCCTATTTTTTAAAAATCCAAAAAGATTTTGTAACAGAAACAATTTTTTATTAATAACATGATATAAAGAGAGCATAAAATCTACTTTTCTTCTGAATTACTTTGCGATTTCTGGAGGGGTTGATAGTTCTTTTTATACCGCTTCCTGGACGATCTCCATCGTTGCCAAGCTCCTTGTATCGCTTAATCGCTTTTGAGACGAGCTGATGAGAAACACGTAGCAATCACGCGTTGACCTTGACGATGAAGCTCCAGAATGGCAGATCCCTTGTTTGTCATCCTATAAAAGAATGAATGGACTTGAAACAAAGTAAAGCAACAAAGAAACTAATAAAAACAATCACAGAGAATAGGTTAAAAATAAATTTGTCTCCCAAAACTGAAACTTTGAGGAATTTAGGCTGCCGAAAATCCCGCAACATTATTTCTGGTCACCCTGTAAAACTGGGGACTACTGAACGAAAGACAGTAATTACAGCATACAGTAATTTCAAAGCTTCTCACTGATAATCCTTTCATCCTTTCACCGATAATCCAATGTGGAGTACTTCTGTAATTTGGATTGTAAACTCTATCAAAGTGCATTCTAGAATTGGCCTTTTCATTTTCTTTGATTCATTGATCATTGATCATTGATACATTGATCTTTCTGTTCTAGTTTAACAATGGAAACAATTTTACTTCAGTAATTTTTTTCGTTCGAAGCGTTTCATCAAGAGGCACATCATTGATTGATTGATGAAAAAATCTGTTGACAATCTGATTTGTATTCAGACCGTCGCTCACGCTCAATTTTTCTCGATGTCGAAAAGGGGAAAGATTTGTCAAAGTTGGCTAAGTTGTTGGCTATTTTTATTATACGAACTTTTATCTAAACTATTAGATTGTCCGGAATAAAAATACTCTTTTACTGAAAAGCAAATTTATCTCCAAAAAAGAAAACAATTCATCCAAAAGATATTCTCCGTTGTTGGCAATAGTCTTTCTCTATTTTTCTTTCAAATCTCGGATCTCTTTGCTGAAGAAATTCTGAGGCTGCGAGTATTGGCCTAACCAAATTCGAACTTCGTCGTGGTCCTTGAAGCACTTTCTGACCGATATGTTTATCGGTCAGAAAGTGCTGCATAGATAAGTGGTAATCTGAGGGTGCCAGATCTGGACTATACGGCGAATGCGGGAGACTTTCCCAACCCAATTCCTCGAGTTTTTCCTGCATCTTCTTTGCTGTGTGTGGGCGCGCGTTATCTTACAGATATCTCATAGTCGATGTGTTTACACCTTGATTCTTGACAGCCTGGGCCCGGTTTCACCACTGCTAAGTCACTGACTTAAGCTAAGTCAGTGACTTAAAATGCTTAAGTCACCATCTCACCACCAATTTAGGACACTGACTTAGAGCTAAGTCACCATTTTCACCACGCTAAATCACTGACTTCGCGTTTCTATGGAAATCGCTAAGTCAGCTAGGGGGCTTCTCCTAGAGGTGACTTAGTGGAAATTATGTCTTGTCTTCACCGCAAAACAACAACACCTTGATAAAAGAAGCTCTCAGCAATCCAATATCAATTGGAGAACTTAAATTTATCGAAGATTTAAAAGATAACGGAAAAGAATAAAAGAATTGGTTATATAGAACAATTAATCAAATAGCAAATAATGTAAAGTAACAAATACTTAACTAAATAAGTAACAAATAAGTAAAGCCCGAATAAACGTTTATTTCATTTGAAATTGTAATATGCTCATTTTAATCTTAATTCAAAATTACTGACTTAAATGGTGGTGAAATGGTGTCTTATCTTTTAAGTCACTGACTTAAAATTCTCGTTAAGTCTGTGACTTAAAAATTTTTGCCAAGTCGGTGACCTAACGAAGTCACTGACTTAGCAAAATCGCTAAGTCACCTCTCCCCTAAGTCACTGACTTAAAATGGTGGTGAAACCGGGTGCTGGTCTACTTCTTTCCTGCTGTTGCACATATAGATCTGAGGTGGCTGTTCGACTAGAAGGTAGAACCTCAAAGTGTATAAGACCATGGGAATTTCACCAAACAGATAACCTGGCCTTTCTTCCATGCGGGTCACGATGTGGCGTCGTTTTTGGCTGTTTTCCTGGACTTAACCACTACCGTTTGCGCAATGAGTCATCGTAGTAAATCCATTTTTCATCGGCCGTCACAGTAGTATCCTAAAAACCTCGATTTTTTGATTGACGAAGAAGAATACCGGCTTCATTCCATAGTCACTCAATTCCATAGTTTCATAGTCCATGCCATAGTCACTCGAGTAGCTTTATTAGCGTCACGAAGTTGATGGGGTACCCATTTTCTGACGAGATACGCTTTACCCAAACGATGTAAATGGTCCGCAATTGTTGTGCAGCTTAAAGCAAACATCGTTGTAAGTTCCCGAGTCGACAAGGTTGGGTTATCTTCAATGGCTTCTGAAAGATCGTCATCGTTGAGCGCTGGAGGGGGCTGACCACGTCCACGATCCTTTAGAGTTCCATCTCCCTCTCTAAATTGTTGAAGCCATTTTTTACAAGCTTGCCCTGAATACAAGCTTCTCCAAAAGCTTCTCCAAGCTTCTGAATACAAGCTTTACAAGTTTCTCCAAAGACTTTCAAGATTGAACTATGGCTCTCCCGGACACTTTTTCCTTGTTTGAAGTCGTAGAGCCAGCACACCCGAATTCGGTACTTCTGATCTTCAATTCTAAAAAAAGGCAAAATTATAAGGTAGTAAATTTTATAAAAACATAGAATTAGAAAAGATCTACAACTTTGGAACAAAACAGAAATCAGACGTGACACCAAAAAAAATTGGCAGTTCGCTACACGGAAAAAATAGCAATTGAAGTTGAGAGTATTTTCATTCCGGACACCCTAATAGTTGTTTAGTTTAGTCTAAAGTATTGATTCTACACAGTTTTTAGCCAAAAATTATGCTCATAACGTAAAAAAGATTACATAGACAGTGCATAGAAGAACCCGGTCCTGATTCCACTCAATACTTTTGATATCCAACTGGACAAGCAAAATATTGGTTATGTATCCCTAACTGCACTATCTACTTGTTATGCAGATGTTTTTAAGTTACCATACTCTTCATTGCATACTTTCAGATAATGTCCCAACAACTACGGAGATACCTGAAAAATTCTCTTCGAGTCAACCGCTACACATTGATTCTCTTTGCTGCTGTGGGTTTCTCTAGTATTCACAGTTGAATTCTTTTAGTTAGCTATGATGGCTTTTCTGTTTTGGAAGGTGATATCGCCAAGCAGTGAACCCACACATTATATTACACAAGATGAATTTTTATACCGGGTCAAGGTGAGTTCGGATAAGCATTGAGACTTGAGCTTGAGCAGAGTTTGAGACTTGAGCACTTCAAAGGTAGTTCGAGCCAAGTCTGGGTAGCAGCTAGCTTTTGTCTGGCTTTTGGTCTTGACTGACTTCACTACAGGTCGAGCAAGTCGAGGAAGCAAGCAAGCAAGCAAGCAAGCAAGCAAGCAAAGCAAGCAAGCAAGCAAGAGCAAGCTCATGTCTAAGAAGTCAGGCCTGACCACCTGGCTTCTGGCCTTCCTGAGCCGGTCTAATCTGTGAGTTGGCCTGGCTCATCCTGCCCTATAGGCCCTGAAGTTGAAAGTTTCCCGAAGTTAAGCTTGAGAATCAAATTCTTGAATCGAATTCAGCTTGTTCTCCTAAAATTTAGACCAATCTGAAAAAACCGCAATTTCGTGGAAAATATTGCTGGCAAAACGATTGCTTCATTGTGCAAGATGTCTGGCAAACGGTTAAAGAAGTGCCAGGCGGATATTCTAAGTTGTAAGTTTAGGTTTAAAGCTTTCTTAAAAAGGCAAGCCTTTTAGTGATGGTCCTCAACGAATCATCACACCACAAGGTTTCGCTGAAGTGATTTTAGTAGAAACGCCGCTCAAATTGCCAACAGGTACTTTAAAAATGCCGTTTTGGTTTATTTTTAAACTAAAACTTTAGAATACACAAAAGAAAATTTGAATTCGAGCAAATGGCACATTGAAAAGATGGGAAAGCCGAGAATTGGCTACTTATCAGTCATCGTCTCTTCAATGTTCACTTCGGAGCTCTTGGATTGACAAGTTTGCCAAGATCTCTAAATATAAAGAAGCTAAAGACTTTGAAATCATTGTAAAAGTTCCAGGATTCATCTTTGAAGCGCTTAAAATGTTTATTGTTTTTTCAGAGTCAGTCATTGGTGATGTCTTGTTCATCGGCCTTGGCGGTGGTGGAATCAGCAATTTTGTGTCAACCGCTTTCCAAAAAGTGAATCTTTATCAAGCTATATTCATGGAAAATTCCTGATCCAAAACTTTCAGATCAATGTAACAATGGTTGATATCAATCCGGCCACAAAACCGATGGCATTAGAGCAATTTGAAGTCGTCGAGAATGCCAAAAAGTCGAATCATAATCGAGGATGGCGCAAAATTTATCAAGGATCAAGTGGCAAAGAAAAACGGTTTGAATTTGTATTCTAAAGTTTTCTTATCTGAATTTCAGTTGGCATTTTCGATGCGATAATCGTTGATGCCTGTTACAATAACAGGAAAAAGCCAAACGTTTGCCCGGTCGATCCATTCATGGAAAAAGAGGGATTGGTCGCGTTCAAAAAGCTTTTGAGGCAAAGTGGTGAGTTGGACAGGTTACACTTAAAGGCAAAAACCTGAAAATATTCAGTACCAGTGTAACATTGGGCTGGAAAAAGACTTGGCTTTACTATACGTCTATCTTGGCTTCACCCCGCCAGAAATCCCATTGGAAATGGCTTCTGGGCGGGCTTACAAGTCCTGAGAATGTCAGACAGCATTGTATTAGGTTATCGTACATTTGATACGTCCCTTGCTCCCTTTGCCATTGTTAATCTAACTTTGAGCTCAAATAGCTTGGTGTTGGGCTGTCCAATCTAAATATTCTTGGTATCATTAGATGCGCCAAGTCTTTCTCTATCGATTGGTACAAAAACTATTTCAATTGGACAGCCCAACACCAAGATATTTGAGCTCAAAGGTGGATTGCCAATGGCAAAAGGGGCGGGCGCGAACGTCCCACCTTTTATACCTCTTCCCGCCCCATTTGCCATTGGCAACTTTGAGCTCAAATATCTTGGTGTTGGGCTGTCCAATCTAAATACTTTTGTATCAATCGACAGAGAAAGCCTTGGCGCATCTAATGATACCAAGAATATTTAAATTGAACACCCAAACACAAAGATATTCGATCTAAAAGTTAGATTACCAATGGCAAAGGGAGCAAGGGACGTATCAAATGTCCGATAGCCTTTTTCAACGGAAGTACGAAAGACTTTCTAGACAGCCTAATATATCAGTCACTTTTTAAAGCTTGAGATCAGCTGGAAAGTGGACAATGGGATCTGTATACTGGGCAACTAATCATTTAATTAACTCCATATTTTTCCATAATTTCGGCCTTCTATTCTTCAGGTGTCGTCATCTACAACGTTTTGGTGATGGACGCCTGGCAGAATAAAGAAGAAATGGAGAAACATGTGAGCTAAATTCACCAACTGAAGTGCTAATTTTGATTTCAGATCCTTGAAGCAAACACAAGAGTCTTTGGCTCAAAAAATTGCAGACTGATTCCGATAAGATTTTTGTCGAATAAGGTTTTGGAAAAACTTGAATGATATAGACAAATATTTTTCAGGTTTTGATTTGCAGTCCAACAGGTTTGCCAAGAGAGGAAGAGCAAAACGAAATAGAGAACAATTCAACAAAATGTTTGGCTGGTAAAAAGATAGAGAAAATCCTGTGCATATTGCTTGATTCACTTTTGACTTTCATTAATTTATAGCTAATGATTGCCATTGGCAATCTAACTTTTAGATTAGATATCTTTGTGTTTGGGTGTTCAATTTAAATGTTCTTTTAGTCTGTTGTCTATTTTTTTTCTATTATTCATCGCTTGTTATCAATAAAACTTTATCAAACATTCAAATAATGCAAATTTTAGTTCAAATTTCGAATTTTAGTTCAGCTACAAAGTGAATTTGACGGATCACAAGGGTGAAGCACAGAATAAAACTGATCACGATTTATAGAATATTTTGGCTTTTTTTTTTCACATAACTTGAACATAGCTAGCCGGGAAGAGTCCCGTCAAGCCGCCCTTTCTCCCCGTGCACCAACCGAGAGAGTCTGGCTCGGAGAGCACCTCGATCGTTTCACCTAAATTTAGTAGTAAGGTAAGGGGGTTATCTTAATGTACAATTTGTGCTCAAAACTCGGACTCATTCTTTTTAGGACTCATTCTTCTTTTTTATCCCTTTGACCTACAGGGCTGTTTCATGCCGCAATTCTCCAGGCTAAGCCTTGGTTTTCGATTTATCGATCTTGGATTGGTCTTGGCTTGAATACTATAACTTTTAGCTTTTCCGAACAGCCTTGCTTGCTTAAATAGATAAGACACCCAATGTAAAATTGTATGTTTAACACGTTCACGACGATACGATCGTTCTAATGACGAGTATTTTTGATGTCAACTCAAGTTTTGTTATTTGTTTCGCAAAAAGTTCTTAGTACTTTGTATTAGTTTCAAGAAAAGATTCAGGACTTTCTAATGACTATAATAGTTGAATTTGTCTTTTTGAATTTTCATCTAAATATTAATAAAACAGTTAACGACTAAGCAATTGCACGACCAAAATGTGTTAAGAAAATCGCGCGAATGTGTTAAGAATTAAGAAAATCGTCGCGAATGTGTTAAGAAAAGAGTATTACAGCCCTCAAATCTCAGGCTATCGGACATTTGATACGCGCCCGCCCCTTTTGCCATTGGCAAACTGACTTTTAGATCAAATATCTTTGTATTAGGCTGTCCAATTTAAATATTCTTGGTATCATTAGATGCGCCAAATCTTTCTCTGTCGATTGGTACAAAAACTATTTCAATTGGACAGCCCAACAGTAAGATATTTGAGCTCAAAGTTGACAATGGCAAATGGGGCGGGACGCGTATAAAATGTGGGACATACGTGCCCCGCCCTTTTGCCATTGGCAATCCACCTTTGAGCTCAAATATCTCGCCGTTGGGCTGTCCAATTGAAAAAGTTTGTGTACCAATCGACAGAGAAAGACTTGGCACATCTAATGATACCAAGAATATTTAAATTGAACAGCCTAACAACAAGATATTTCAGCTCAAAGTTAGATTTGGCAAAGGGAACAGGGCAAATGGCAAAGGGAACAGGGCACGTATCAAATGCTCCATAATTCAAATCTCCTGCACTATATAATATAAATGCCTATATATAGTTAATCTCAGTTTTAGGTCTATTCTACCTTTCTTCAAGCCGATCTCGTCATTCTCAATCGGACTGTAATCGTAGAGCACGGTTGCGAGCTGCTAAAAACAAATCTTTATTTTTATCTTCACTCTTTGCTCACTTTCTGATAATCATCGAATTCGGAGAATTTCTCTGAATCCGGGGTTCTTGACGATGGTGGATTGCTAGCAGCAGAAGAGGAATTCATCGAATTCGTTGAGTGAAGTGGTGGATGGATCATTGAAGTAACGGGCTTTTGAGGCAACGATTCCCATCTCCTGGCCTCATTTCCATTGTAGCCATTCACATTGATTATGTTCTGAACAATGTTTTGTTGATATTTTCGATCACTAACCTTATTGTTGTTATTGTTGTTATTCCGGTTCTTCTGATTGCTCTTCTGTGAATCGAAAGTGTTGGTATCGGAGTCGCTGCTGCTCTAGAATTTCAATATTGTAATAAGCCTATTATTTAAGAGTTAAAGTTAAATAACGGCCAGCTAAACAGACTTAAACTTAAATAATAGCTCAACTTGTTATAAAACAAACAAAACCAACTTTTCGACTCACCCCTTGCTTTCCATTTTCGCTTCCATGACTGCTGCCCGGTTGTGGTCGGTGAATCTCAAGTCCTCTAAGGATTTAAATGATAATTTTATATATTATAAATGATTTTTATATATTATAAATGTTTTTATATGCTAAATTCGATTTTGAAACCTTTTTAACAGAAGGTTTTAGCATTAGAACCACTAAATTACTAAAGAAATTAGAGTTTTTGCAAGTTTCTTAGAAAATAAAGAAAAATATGCATTTCTTTTGTATTTCTTAATGTTTTTGATAAACTACATTGCAATGTAAATGTACATTGTAAAATGTATTATTTAAAGTTTGATTAATAAACAAAATGGGCGAAATTTCGATAGTTTTAAGATAAAGCTTTCGTTAAGGTATTAAAGTGCTGAACAAAACTAGAATTTTTTTTTGTTTTGGCTAGATTTTGTCGGCAAAATTTAATAAAATTCTTTGTGAAATTACTTTTAGGTAAAAAAGAGGTTTGAAGATAAAAGATTTCCAAATCAGATGACCTATTTGATTGGCTGAAGCCATTTGGCTTCAAAATCAGACGGCTATTTGAATGGTTTCCAAATCAGATGGTCGATTTGAATAGTTTTAAAATCGAACGTCCGATTTAAATGGCTTCAAAACCAGACGCCGATTTAAATGGCTTCAAAATCAGACGGCTATTTGAATGGCTTCCAAATCAGATGGCCGATTTAAATGGCTTCAAAACCAGACGTCAATTTGAATGGCTTCAAAACCAGACGCCTATTTAAATGGCTTCAAAATCAGACGCCTATTTAAATGGCTTCAAAACCAGACGTCAATTTGAATGGCTTCAAAACCAGACGCCTATTTAAATGGCTTCAAAATCAGACGCCTATTTAAATGGCTTCAAAATCAAACATTTATATATTTCATCATCATCATTCATATATATTTCATCTATTTACCTTTTTTCTTGTGGCTTTTGGAACTGATGAGGAGCCACAGTTGGTAGAATTTCATCGTCAGCTTTGATCACTTGCCTCGTCAAGACCACTCCACCAGAAGCATCCTTTGCTGAGCACTTTCTCGCAGAAATCTCTCGCATTTCTGGATGGTACTCCTAAATAACAAGATGTTAATCTTGTTTTTGATGAAGACCAAAAAACCGTATACAAGATTAGGCAAAATTACCCGGACAACTTTTTAGAAAAGCAGTTGTCGCACGCTTAATTTATTTCAAAATGTCAAGCGTTATATAGAGAATTGTAGCCCTTAATCTTGGCTACATTTATCTACTAAAAACTTTCCAATCGGACTCATTTAACAAGTCCTTGAATGAGCACTAGTCGATCCCGTTCCAGCGCCTTGCCATTTTTGACGATTTTCTACATAAAAATTTTATCTAAAAAGGACTTTGTTCAATTAAATTTGTGTGCATTTTGTTTAAAAAGTTATTTCCAACAATTTCATAGCGCTATAACAGCTACTATAACGAGATATCGTCATCGTCAAATTGTCAAAAATCGCATAGGGACGACAGTGCTCATTTAAGGACTTGTTAAATGAGCTGCATAAATCCGATTGGGAAGTTTTTAGTAGATAAATGTAGCCAAGATTTAGGGCTACAATTCTCGATATAACAATTGACACTTTAAAATAAATTAAGCGTCAACAACCTTTTCAAAAAGTTATCCGGATAATTTTGCCCAAAAATCTCGTGCAGTTGCTTACCTCGAAATTTGGCCAACACGTCGGCGCATCGATTCCATAAACTAGACACCAAGTGGTGAGATCTTCATTCAAAGCTCGCTCATCGGTCGTTCTCAGTCTTTGCTGGATTTGCTCATGGAGTTGTTGGAATCTAAAACCTGATTGTTGACAGGCTCATTTTGGTATCTGGTTCAAATTCGTCCAAGTTCACCTATTAGGTTGGCAAGTTATAAACGATTGTTTTTGGGTAATGTGTTTTCTGAAAAAACGGCTTATCCAATCAAAAAACGGTTTGCTTAATTCAAAAGCCCTATCCTTAATCTACAAAATGGCTTTTTTTGAATTTTTGAAAAATGTTTTATTTTAGAACTTTTTCAAGCATTTTAATGTAAGAGTTGAAAATCCTGTTTCTAGCATTCATGAGCTAATATATTATTATAGCTATTATATATGAGTGATTGCATACTTTTTAAAATAAAACGCTTCATCGATTACATAGTTTCCAAAATTTCAGAACAATCCAATCTTCGGAAGGTTGATTTTCAAATCAGGCTCAAAATGCACTTTTGTGCCAATTTAATCCATTTTCGTTTGAATTTAAGCAAGATTAAAAAAAGAGAATAAAAGAAAGAGATTAAAAGAAAGAGAATGTTTCGATCGATTGGATTTTTCCGAAATTTCGGGAAACTATTTAATCGATGAAGCGTTTTATTTTAAAAAGTATTCAATCACTCAAAAATACAGTCATGGACAAAAGTCTTGGCGGGTCCTGGGTGGCAACTTTCAAACGTAAATTTAGGAACCTTTCCGAGAGGCTATAAAAAAGTTCTCACAAGTATTTTTGAGCATTTTTACTCTACTTTTAGCTATGACCAAGCATTGAACTCGAAAGTTTATTTTAACCAACAAAAATAACAAAATAAATAAGATTGTTCATGTTTAGATGACTGATTATTTTATTATGAAGGATAATTTCGAAAAGTTTGGATAGGGGTGAGGTCAAGTTAATGGGTCGGTAGTTTGAGAAATGATTTTTAGGGGAAGATTTTGATAATGGTATAACGAAAGATTCTTTCCATACATTAAAATGCCAGAAAAAGTTCTAAAATAAAAGATTTTTCAAAAATTCAAAAAAAGCCATTTTGTAGATTAAGGATAGGGCTTTTGAATCAAGCAAATCGTTTTTTGATTGGATAAGCCGTTTTTTCAGAAAACACATTACCCAAAAACGATCGTTTATAACTTTATAACAACCTAATAGTTTTCAACTCTCCACTCTCTTGTCTCTCTTGTCTATTCTTACGCAAATTTCTCACTTATTGTTGTTGATGAGATCGACGAGAACATGCTCTGTACCGGTGATCATTTCCACAAAGAATTTCAATCTTTTTCAGCTCCATTTGTTGACATTTCGCAAAGACAAACGACATGTTTTCCATATAAGGGCTCTGAAAAGGGCAAATATTTGGGTCATGAGAATCTTT